TAAAATAAAATAGTGTATATAAATACAAATATAAATACTAGTTTATTCTAAATGTTTAGAAGTTTTATAAAAAGCATTTTTCATAACTTGAAATAATAATTTTTAATTGGAGACAACTCCTAGCTGTAAAGTGGGGTTAAAACTTTTCCAAAATCATCAGCGTTTTCCTCCAATTTACAATGTTTGTCACGAGATGCCAAAGAAAAAAAAGCTTTATGTTTGTTCAAGACAATTAAAATTTAATATTTACTGTACGCTTAAAGCTTGCAGAAATTTATTAATAAAGTTCATGATTAATCATCCGTTCATTCATTAAATATTGAAAATTTCATTCAATGGGAAAATTGAATCCGTAGGACATTATTAATTCAGAAGAATTTCGGTTCGTGATTTTATTTTCTTAATTAAAGCCTAAAAAAAAAAAAAAAAATGATCCAAGTTAACCACTTCTCCCTGAACTATTCTTTTATTTTTATCATTTTAATTTGGCATCCTTCTTTTAATTTTTAATTATACCTTTTAATTTTGATTATAAAGCTAATTAAAATATCTACCCATCAATGAGATGATGCACAAATATGAGAGGACTTTATTATTGTATTAATTAATTTATTAATTAGTTTAGAAATTAAAAAAATAAATTATAATTGCAATGGAAAAAAAGTGAATGGATTTAATGCTTAATTCACTTCGTTGTATAATGGAGATAAAATACACGTAGAGCATACATACCGTCTGGTTGTTAAAATCAAATATACAATCAAAATCAAACAAGTTATGATGAAATAATGGGCATCGTTCTGTCACCGTTATAGGAGGAGAGGAACCATATTGTGAAACTTCTCTTAGTAAACAATTTTCATAAACTCAATTCAATTTTAAATAAATATATGATAATCAGATCATCAAAATACCGGACGAGCGCTCTCTATAACGGACGCGGACGAGCATAATGCAGGAGTTTTAAATAATTAGTTTCTTCATAACAGAAGACAGGAAACCATTGAGGTTCATATTCTGAGTATATTTCGCTTTTTTTTTTTTTTTTTTTTTTTTTTTTTTTTTTTTTTTTTATATTGAATATTTAGATTTTATATGTGTCATAGGTAATTGAAGGCTTTCACTAATTCTGCATATTGAAATTTTCGACTTTTTCATGAGTTTATTGAAATATTCATTCCGGATTCATCCCTAATATTTGCGATCTGCGACATTTCTACACACAAGCATTAATAAGTCGATGAATACTGAATATGTTTACCTAATATTTATTATGAAAAATAAAACAAATTTAGAAAATCGTTCCATTTGTATTGGCTATTTGGCTACAAAAACTGGGAAATATGTGAGAGCCAAATATAACGACACTTTTAAACGCTTTTGTTTAGTTAATATGTTATTAAGGCTTAAAATACATTTATTATAGGAAAGGAATACAACGTACCTATAATAATAATCATAATAGAGAACTTGTTTATTATTATCCATTAGTTAGTTAACATTTGTAAGATTTATAATAATTGTATACTAGTAAGGAGTATTTTAAATATTTGGAGAGAGGAGCTCCCACCATCCCATAGGGATCAACGCCAATGTAGTAAATATACAAATTTATATGTACCAAAAAAGTTTCAGATTTTTATGACTGTCATCATACCCTCCGAATTTTCAAAAAGTCATATCATCTTGAACCTCTCTAATCCTCTGGGTGGATCTCTACCCAGCTCCAATCACCAGGATAATCCTCCTCGAAGTATGGAACGGAATACGCTGCGATATCTTTTGTAAAATATGATTATTGGAGTCATAAAGGAAGGTAGCACATGCTCTCAGTCTTTCAACCATCTAATATAATGTGGTAATCCGGTTCTGGCCACGTAAATAATTATTGTAGATTTTGTATTACATAAAGTTATATTGTAATCTTGAAAATATTTCGTTACTCACATTATAACAGATCCTAAAACACTAGATTTTAAAAATAATAATAAAATTGCTTTGTTCGAGGACGCATGAGTCTATCCAATATATGACCAATGGCTGTGATACTCTGGTAGGAACGGAATACCTCATGAGGCATAATAATGTCGCAAAAATATACAACCTAAGTATAAGTGGAAAATTTGAGCTACTGGAGAGTTACCATATTGTCGTTGTTCAGGGATCAAACCCTGAAAACACAAAAAATAACAATTGCTCAAGTCAGAACTTCACCACCATTTTATGGCCACCATCTTGCTGCAAACCATTCTTGTAGAGTTAACCTGTTCAATTTGTGAAGCGTGCACACATTAAGTTACTCTATTAAGAAATGGCAAGAAAAGACAATATGAGTTGCTAAACTCTAAGAGAATGGCCTGGTGGAGGAAATATGGGGAGAAAGAAGAGGTGGCCTAAACCAAGAAGCTTTAATTCAGACAGAAAGTGAGTCCAAATTAACAATCAAGCAACTGTAATTAATCTGTAAAGAACCAAACCATTGTACAAGGCACAAATTTCATTTTGTTTAATATTATGCAATATAATCAGTTTCTCAAGATGTTGTTAAATTTAATCAATCATCAAATTTCATTAATCCAACCTTATACAGTCCCCACCACTTTTCACACAACTCACTTACATATCATTGGGTGATATTTGTCTCACAACAAATTACCGTGAAATAACAGTCGTTATGCTCCGGAAAAATTTAATGAAAATAGAAATATAAAAGTTTACTGAGTACAAAATATAATAACGGACCGTAGGCTATTGCATAACCGTCCGGATATTTTGGTTATAAACAAAATAAATAAAACTTAAGAAATTATAGATATAGCAGTGCCCTGTGATACCAATATGGTAACCACCAAGCCGAAAAAAATAGAAAATAACAAGAACTTGCTTTCGAGTTAAAAACGCTGTATCACTTGGAAACAGTGAAGCTTACTCCAATAATCATATCTTCTAATGGGTTAATATTGAAAAGCACAGTAGAGGGTACCCAACAACTTGGACTTGATTTGGAGCATTTAAAAGCAGTCCTGCTTTTAATAAGCAGTCGATAAGTGCAGGATTGTCAGAAATTTTCTAAATAAGTAATTTTTTTTATCTACATTCCTTTGAATGTTTTTTCCAGGGCAAAATTTTATTCCAGGACGTGGATAATTTGTTCCAGAAATACGAGGAAGCTAAGGAAATAAAATAAAATGCGATTAGGCCATTGTTTTGAGTGTGGGTTAAGATAGAAATATTCTTACGATCTAAGTGGAATGAAACGAGTTTTTAGTACCTGATTAAATAAACAATGTTTACCGCTCTCCTAATCGAAAACGCACCATTTCCAAGAGTTTTCGTAAATATATTAGTACTAGGTTACGATGAGATGAAGTTGATGAAGTTTCAGGCGGATGTTCATAATTTGATAAAAAAAAGAGGTCTGTACCAAAGAATACCAGACTTACTCCAAGTACCAATCGGCTATTGTGGTATGAAATCGCTTGAAGTTTGGGTATTACCTTCCTAAGTGTTCTAGTGGCATATCCACTCATATTTTATAGGCTATATAAAACTTATTATTTCTTAATGAGTTGAAAACTACCTACTACTGGTACAGTGTCTATTACTGGTAAACGTAACTTATATGCCGTATCCCGATGGGATTTATTGTATATAAATCCGTGCCTTAGTAATAAGTTATTTCGATGGTTATTATATTAATCTGCTTTATCCAAAATGTACAATAATTAAATGTCAATGTAATATTTATCATTAGATAGACAGATAGAAGCGTTTATTTGTTTATAAAGTACATAATATCATTTTTTTTTTACATATAATTAAACGATTTATCGACAATGAACTTGTGTTCGTCTGTCGGGGAGTTTGCCTAGTTTATTCGTGGAGATATCTTATCTTTTAAGATTTCACAGTTTTAATATAAGAAGATCCCAATTGCAATATTATCTACTTAACTAAAAAAAAATCTTGATTTTAAATAAAAATTCTTTCTAAATATAAAAATATAAATATACCTACACAATGTACAAATATACGTGAGTATAAACCATAATTTTAGATACCTTTTATTCTAAATTATATTCTCTCACTAATTCACATCTATAATTAGTGGATGTTCTTAAATACAAATAAAAATTTCTGTAGTCGGGGCCATTTGAAATTTTTATTGTTTCCATAAAATTTTAGATGCATATCTAAAAATGCTATTCTGAACTCTTTTAGTATTGGGCATATCGATATAAAATGAAAGTTATCTTCCGGGGCATTAATATTGCAGAAAAAAAAAAGATTTCCCCCTTTATCCTGCCACGGCTGGTAATTTAGATTGAAGAAGTTTTCCTCTTGCTTTAAATATTAGCCGAATGAAATATAAATTGTAATCATTCTTGCCGAAAATACCCACAATGATATTATAATTTGGCATACATTTTATGATACTCTGCTGATCTTGCCCTCTTAATGTAATCATTCATTTTCTCTTGCTTTAGTTTTTAAAGTATGTGTTTTCAACTTCTTCAGCAGATCTTTTTTGGTGAAAGAAATATCATATTTTGTTCCTATCCTTCTCAGTGCCCTCATCCATGTAATATTCTTTTCGATGACTAATTTAGCTATGACATGGGAGTCGTTGGTGATCCATTTCCAATACTTTTATTATATACTCGAGGTGCAATTTTAAAGTATAAATACACAAATGATCAAATCCCGTTTCGAGATATAGCATGTAGTTAGGAGTGTTATCTGGGAGCCCAATCATTTTTAGAAAATACCTCTGTAGTTTTTCAATCTCCTCGAATTCTTGGTAGCCCCAAAACTGTGCTCCATAACATACCATAGCCCAGGCCAAAGAGTTGAAGTATTTATCATTAGTCGAGCTATTGTAATTCTTTCATTAAAATTCAATGGTGTCGAGTGCTTATTTTTATCACTGATGTAAATTCGGAAGGAGCTTGAATATTTAGTTATAAATACATTGATATGCCGATCGACCGTATGTCAGTATGACATATTTCAACAGGAGCTCCTGGGGACAACAGCTCCTTCAGATCCCATATATCACAGCTCGCTTTGGCAGGCACTGCCTCCTAAATCACCGGCTCCTTCAACTAGGTCGTGCGGTGGCAACAGCGAGACGTCTCGATGACATTCCTATAATCGATCCCAGTCCGTGCTTCCGTTCGGCCCACCGCTAATTTCCTGGAAACCTGAGTCTGGAGCAGATTCCAGGGTCTTTCAGAAACGTCTAACACGCTTGAGATAAATGAGCTGATGAGAGATTGAAGCTGCTGGATTCTGTACGATCAATCACGTGCTTCTTTATTTGTCGTGTTTCAGCATAATGTGTAATTTACATAAAATATTATTTATGATAAACAACCTTATTTAGGTTATTCATATCTTTTTGTGGGATTTATTTTATATTTACTCTATATATGAACATGTTTGAACTAAAACCCTTTTTTTCTAACAATTTTTACATTTAAAACATTATTATATAATACAAATATTATTGTAACGTTCCGCCCTTTTTGGCCATTTTTAAATTTATTTATTACACACGTTTATAACGCATCTCCAAATTTTATTAGTGAAATTTCTACTTGTCAATTTCATTCAGACAAAATAAAGCCAAAAAGTTATTTGCTGTTGGAGATAGTTTTCTTTTTATAAAACAGGAAAAAAACTTATTTTGCTTTGTAAATTTTCTAAAATGTATCTTTAAATAAATACGGATAATATTCAATTACTAACTTTACGTAATATGTTCTTTTCTCTTTTTCATTTTAATTAATTTAAGATTTTATGCAAAATTTATTTATTTATTATTCGAAAAATCATTATACCTCCAAAAATAAAAATATTTTTATAATTCTATTTCTAAATGATATAATTTCGCTAATGATTTAAGTTCATAAAGGAATTTAAGTATTGTAATTGGAATTCGTAATTTTTCAAAAAAATTCTCTTTCCTTTGATACCTCATTCAAAAAATTTACCACTTCTGATAGTCGGAAAGATTTGTAGTTAATATAGTGTTTTTTTTTTAAAATTACACAGACTTTTGAAGGTTTGAAAATTTTGTTCCAAGTTCAATTGAAATGTTCGAATGGAAATAGTAGATTTTTCCAAAAATGTTATTTACTTTAAATTATTTTAGTGACTTAAACATTTGCAAATAATTTTAGTCTTTTAATATTTCTTCGAAGGACCGATGATGTGCGGGGAAATTTGATTAAATTTTTATCGAATAGCTGTCACCGACAGGAATTATTTCGAATGGTACAAGTGCTCTTTATACGTCAATATTCATTGCTCGGGAGTAAATATCCCCATAGCTTTGATTTGATTTCTAAATCAACTTTGAATGCTCTCTGCGTTAAAGCAGCTTATTGAGGTAGTGCATTATAGCACATCAATAACTGGTGTGGTTTATTGACCAAATAATTTTATTAAACTTTTTTTCTAAATGAACTTTTGCTACTTTTTTAATAGCGGGTAGCGTCAAAACTTCCCTTGTTATATAATCTTATTTCACATAACCTCCCTTTTCTCCTCTAACCTAAGTTATTCTCTTGTTTAATTTTTGTTCCTTGTGTAAGCTGTGAGTTAGTCTTATTTAATTATGGATATTGCCACATTGTGGGAATTGCCGTCTTCATAAGAAGAGGCTATCAAATATCTTCAAGACGCCGGGATATTTGCAAAGGTGAAATACTGTGATGAAGGTCATCAAATGAAGTTCGAGTGGAAGATTAAATGGAGATGCTTTCGTAGTTGTAACAAAACCGTTTCTATAAGGAAAGGAACCTTGTTAGAGGGGTCGAGGATTTCTTTTTTAACGTTTTTAAAATTCATTTATAGATGGTCCCATAATTTATTAGCAAAACAGTGGAGAAAAGAGCAGCTCAAACTATCTCAGGCAATTATCGTAACGTGGAACAAATTATTAAGAGAGGTTTGTGCCCATAACATGTTATACAGGTCAAGTAAAAAAAATGGAGGGCCTGGTAAAGTTGCGAATTGCCTATTTTTATTATTTCATTTATTTTTATATACATGATGCAATGTTTTCGTAATGTTTTTTAATTATATGTATAATGTTTTGGTTTATTTAATATATATCTTCTAAAATAAAAGTATTATTTTATTATTACATTTGTTTTTGTTCACAATTTCAATAATATCAATACAATACAATAAATATGAATACGAAGATATAATAATGTGAATACAATACAATCAATATGAATACGAAGATATTATATCAGAGTTATCAGTGTTAAGGTTATAAACATTGGCAGAAAGCAGTCGGACGCTACCCGCTATTAAACAAGTACCGAACTTTTTTTTTTGGCTATCACTCAATAAAACTATTATGTAATACTGTTTCAAAATGTTGATGCTCATGATTATTCTTTAACTAAAATTTAAAACTCAGCATCAGGGTACATAATGATCATTTTTTTACTGTGTAAAATTCTTTTGTTTCTTGACCTCACGTTGTAAGGTTGGGAATATTCGCATTCACCAAACTGTAGAGGAACCCCTATATACTCTTTTAAACTGAGTTTTCTCCAAGTGCGATTAGATAAAAAAAGAAGGCCATCAGAATTGATATAATCATTTAAGTGCTACATGTATATAGTTTTAGTTTACATATATTCTTTTAGAAGAGGTACTTATTGTATTTTAATTATACAGTTTTAAATTGCAATAAATTAATTTTCAAAAAACACATTAACGAATCGATGTTATTCCTCTGTAACCTGGTTCACTAACCAACTACAACCTACCAACCTACTAACCTACAACCTACCAACCTACAACCTACAACCTACCACCTACCAACCTACAACCTACCAACTATATGGTACACTAACCGGTTTGCTTTGTGTTGCAGGGTATGGTCGGGGTGCGACGCGGAGCTGGCTGAGCGAGGCGGACAGCCTGACGACGGAGGGGTGGCCCCCGCCCAGCACCACCCCCAGCAGCGCCAGCTCCCCGGACTATGGGGTCCCCAACGCCACCTCCATCACCTCCACCACTTCCTGGCCCCTCGTCGAGCCAGAGGACTCCTACGCCGCGCTCGCCCTCAAGGCCACCGTCATGGGCTTCATCATCATGGCGGCCCTCTTTGGCAACCTTCTGGTCATCGTCAGCGTCATGCGCCACCGCAAGCTCCGCGTCATCACTAACTACTTCGTCGTGTCCCTCGCCCTGGCGGACATGCTCGTCGCCATATGGGCCATGTGTTTCAACCTCAGTGTCGAGACGACCGGAAGATGGCTCTTCGGCTACTTCATGTGTGACGTCTGGAATTCCTTGGACGTTTACTTCTCGACAGTGTCCATACTCCACCTCTGCTGCATTAGCGTAGACAGGTACTATGCCATTGTACAACCGCTTGACTATCCGCTCATTATGACCCAGCGTAAACTGGTTATCATGCTCGCGGTGGTTTGGTGCTCCCCTGCTCTCGTGTCCTTCCTCCCAATCTTCATGGGATGGTATACGACTCAAGAACACCTGGAATACAGGAAGTTGCATCCCGACCTGTGTGAGTTTCTAGTGAATAAACCGTACGCGGTGATATCATCGAGCGTGTCGTTCTGGGTGCCTGGAGTCATCATGATCTTCATGTACTACAGGATCTACATCGAAGCGGATAGGCAGGAGCGAATGTTGTACAGGTAATTGATTTTTAATTTATTTGTAAAAAGTTATCACAATTATAAGGTTTATGTAATAAGATAAGGGGTGCTGTTTTATCTTTCAGGATGACTCTGAAAAACTTAAAAATTTGTTTTCAGTTAAGTATCAAGGCATTCCTTAGAATTAGTGTTGCCAAAAATCGGTCTTGGTCTAGCACTTTGAAAGACCAAGACCAGGACTAGTAAAAAAAATCGATTTTTTAAAACAAAAATTAAGAGGAAATAGTTACTAATACTTGACAATCTTAGTTACTATATGTTGATAATTGGTATAACCAATATGCTCTTGCGTTTAACTCCTCAAATTTTTCATTTGGAATTAGGTTAGGTTAGGTTCCTGATATCTAAACAATTAGAGTAATATCTCTATAGTAATAAACTAATAAGTAACTGCAAGACTCTTGCGCAAGACCAAGACAACTAACAAGACTGAGTTTGCAAGACCAAGACTTGTTTCGGTCTCGCATTTGGGCAATACTACTTAGAATGAAATTATAAAACTAAAAATGTTTAGTGAATAATTACTAAGTGACCTCGATTACTAAGTCATATATATTTTTTTAATAGAGGAGATAATAGATAAAATGTTAAGATTAGTTTTAAATTAGCTAAGATGACAGGATTTCCGAAAACTTATTGTTGATACTATAGCAGAGGTTTTAATGAATGGACGAAAGCTAGGCAGAGTCAGAGAGGCGTACATTAGCCATGCTATTATATAAAATAATGATGTTGAAGGGAGGGAGGAGACGCAAGGGGGGGGGGGAGAAGCGATGGCTTGCATGCGGCGTCCATTCATCAAACCACAATGCCCCTGTTGTCACCTGCCGATCCTGTTTGCTTTCTCCTCTCCCATATTGTCCTTCTCAAAATATTGGGTTTGGCTTGGGCTCGCAACATAAATGCGGAGGTGTAGTATTGTGAAATGTTTAATGTTCAGTTGAAGTGCGTGACTTATACCCGTTTGTCATGAAATTAAAAACCAAAAGATGAAACAATATTAGTAGATTGATATTTAGATCGGTACACGTGTGGTACATCGTTTTGGTACCTCCAAACCGCAAGTCAATTCGAGCGAAGGTCTGAAAAATGTATACTGGTTAACATAAATCAAGGCTGAATTAATAGGTCAACTTTATAGCTTAATTAAATTTAATTAATAAGTTAACTTTATAGCTAGCTGGTTTCCTGGCTACTGTATTTATTACCAAATAAATCAACTTTCTCTTATCATTTGGGATTTAAAGCTAAATACTCTACTATTTTTGAGTATTTAAATTTAGATCATCAATATGTATTGTTATATAAAAGTTTGAGGACGTTAAAATTGTAAAGTTGCGATTGTTTTTATTTTTTTTTCCATCATACAATTCTCATACAAATTTAAGTTGTATACAATAATTTAATTGTTCTCAATACTTGAATACACTTAACTCTATTTCGTATATATATGCAATAAAAAAAAAAAATAAAAATCTTATTTTCATGTAAACAAGTTATACTTTTTTTGTTTCTTGTTTTATGTTGTTTTCTTTAATTCTTAAAGAAAATAAAAGCAGAGCATAGATAGAATGTAAGCGTAGCATCCATACATATAATATGCGAATTCGCCTGGTGTATGCAAACTTTTCCAAATAAACTCCTCCCGCATAGAGTTACTATGCAAGAGAAATCCCGATTCTCGACGTTATTGGTTCGATTCCCACCTGGGTCGGTTGATATTTATTTTTAGAGCTCTAGGGAAATAAACCTTGACACTCCCTCTCTGGCAAATAAGAAGCGAAAACCTCAAGGAAATTGTCAGATGTTGACAAAAAACCAGGCCGAATAGTAGGATTAGTTCGTCCCATCTGTAGCAGTAACAATACTAGTATATATAATTAGATCATAGCTGTTTGCTGTGAAACGTTATTTTATTATATATATATATATATATATATATATATAGGTTTATAATTACATATGAGCTATACCTATATTTGATAGTAATATATTGCCGACCTTGTTTTATTTTGGAATTTTATGTCATTTAGAACAATTTTTCAAAGAAAAAACATCTCGCTTTAGTTTAGGACAAGTATAAAAAATATTAAAATATTCAATAAACACTAAATTTAGCTTACAATAAAATTTAAATCGTCTGAAACAACCTTTCGTTTTTTTTTTAAGTAACTAACAATTTCAACCAATTCTTGCTATTTGTCAGATCCAATGCTTTTCGAACTTATAGGTCTTCACCACCGTCTTTACTGTTGAAATGTGACCGAATAAAACCATTGTAATATGAAACGACATGAAAAAAATCATTAATTAATTTGAAATTCCTGGTGCCTAATTTATGTATTTCGAATAAATGGTCTGTTGGCTCGTAGCCAAAAGACCATTGCCGCCCCCTTGACTTGGCTAGAGCAAGCGACTGGTTAGATATTCCCCTCATTTAAATTCCACGGAAAATAGCAGATAGTAAAACATGTTTTTACTTTCACTTATGAAAGTATTGCGACCTTCAAAAATTTCGAATCCGTGTTTTCAACTGTAATGCACATAAAAACTACGAATCACGTAAGTAGAAATGAAGATTGTATTTTTTGAATATTTTTCATAGGTCGTCATATATTTATTATTGTTTCTGTTAATATTCATTGTGTGATTTGGTTACAATGATAGGTGATGAGGCACACCGTTTTGTTTATATTGAACATAAAAACTAAAATTATGGCTGTAACTTTTTTTTTTTTTTTTTTTTTTAAAGTTTTATTCACACCTGTCATAATGGTAATGACAACCAGTGAATGTGAGATCGATTGATAAATATGTCATGAAAGGCATGAGGAGGATCAGTGCCCAGCGACACCTCACTCGGCGTGATATATACATTAGGCGAGGAGGTCCCTCATCCAGCTCCTCTTCAGTCTCCTACAGACGTTACCGGGCATATTCGTAGTGGCCATATCATTTATAAGTGTATTAGTATGTCCTTGTAAGTTGTCATGGAATCGTTTGTAATGAAGACGTATGTGTTCGTTAACAGTCGGCATATGGAGGTCAGTATGTAAGGTTATGTTGCTAACGTACCAAGGTGCTTTTGTAATTGTTCTGAATGTTTTTGCTTGAAAGATTTGAAGTTTGTTTAAGTGAGTCTTTTTAGCAGTTCCAAATATCTGTGATGCGTAAGTCCAAATAGGTTTTAGTAAGTAATTTTATGTGTTCAATTTCTGTCTAAGTTTTAGTTTTGAATTTTTTGAAAGAAGTGAACTCAGAATTCTTAATCTTTGATTTAAAGTTTTTCGTTTTTTGATTATATGTGGGCCCCACGTCATTTTTCTGTCAAATGTCAGACCAAGGTAGTGAACGGTGTCTGTCTGTGGAATCTGTGTATCGTCAAGGAAAACTGGAGGGCATGTTTCATGTCGAAGCGTAAATGTGATGTGCTGTGATTTGTCTTGATTTAGTCGGATTTTCCAAATTTTGAACCAGTCATGTAATCTTGTTAAATACTGTTGTAGGGTCTGTGAGGCGTATGTTGGATTTTTGTGTCTTGCTAAAATTGCTGTGTCGTCTCCATATGTCGCTGTTAAAATGTTGGGACTACAGGGTATGTCATGGGTGTATGTGATATAGAGTAGTGGAGAGAGTACTGAACCTTGAGGTACTCCTGCTGAGATAGACCTGATGGAAGATAGTTCTGACCCGTGTCGGACCGAGAAAAATCTATTGGAAAGGAAAGATTGTAGAATTAGATAATATGTAGGTGGGAGTATTGTCTTGAGTTTAAAGAGAAGACCCTGGTGCCAAACTCTGTCAAACGCTTGAGCAACATCCAGAAATCCAGAAGTTGCATATACTTTCTGCTCTAGTGCTGTAGATATGTAGTCCGTTACTCTATGTAGTTGGTGTATAGTTGAGTGATGTGCCCTAAATCCAAATTGATGGTCAGGTATTATTTGGGTGTTTGTTAGTATATCAACAAGTCTTTTGTTCAGTAAGCTTTCAAAAATTTTGGAACAGATAGGTAGTAAGCTGATTGGTCGGTATGAGGAAGGTGAGTTTTTGTCCTTTTTAGGCTTGTGAATCATTATTATATGTGAGTATTTCCACTGTAGGGGAAATTTAGTTGTCCTCAGTATTGCATTATAAATAGTTGTCAAAAGCACTAGAGCTTTTCTAGGCATTTGTTGGAGCACTTCAGCGTTAATCAAGTCATGTCCAGGAGCTTTTCTTTTAGGCAACTTTTTGATTTGTTCAGCAATCTGTGAAGGTGTGAATGAAATAGAAGGTGAAGTTAGTTGTAAGGGCATGTCTAAAGTGTTTAGTATATTGTTATCGTGCACAGTGTTAGTGAAGTCTGTGTGTGGTACAAAAACAGAAGAAAGATATTCGGCAAAGAGTTCTGATTTTTCTCCGTCCGTCACGGCCCAGGAATCATCTTGTCTTCGAAGGGGTGCTGACACTTCACGATGCTTAATAAGGTTTTTGGTATGTCTCCATAAGCTTCCATCGTCGGTTGAGAGATTTCTGATGTAGTTGTCATAGGTTGTTCGTTTGAATTTTCCAATCTGTCGCTTGAGTTCATTATTAAGTCTGTTGTAAGTTCGTTTATCTGATGGGAGTCTGTCAGTCTGCCATATTTTGCGAGCTCTCCTCTTCGCTCTGATCAAGTCCCTTATGTATTGTGGGTACATTGGTAGGAACTCATATTTTTGAGGTTTTGATACTGATGAAGACCATGCTGCTTCTTGGATATTTCGTGTGAAGTATTCAACGGCATCCTCAAGTTCTTCTTCGTTTTTAATGGATAGAGGAACAGAGAGAGCAGTGTCCAATTGGTTCCTGTACCTGTCCCAATCCATTATGCCAGTTTTACAGTTTTTTTGTAGCTTCACAAGGCTCTTCAAACAATACCAAATGCAAAAGGGAATGATCAGAGCAAAGATCTGAACTTGTTGTTATAGTGTGAGGTGTTGTTCGGAGTCCTTTAGTTAT